CTTCATCCGACGTCTGTTTTCGTCTGTCTTTTTACCGTTGTACTACTATTGACGATACCTTCAATTATCGTTTAGGTTGCATAGGCTAAAAATTACTTGATCTCCATTTCGAGTTTTTAGCTGTCTACTGCTATACTGAAACTTAGAAAAATCATAACTTCCTCATACGAAGTCAGATTTGGACGTTCTTTTTATGAAAGTTCTCAGTTTAACGAATACTACAACTTTCATTTAGATTATATAGGCTAAAAAGTAGTTTATCGAAAACTCATTTTTTACGTCATACGGCGTCGTGCCGGTTTTGTCGCGAAACTTCAATAAGCCATAACTTCCTCATTATAATTTGGATTTCGATGAGGTTTTCGCCTAAATGTTTCTAACGAGATTCTTTACAACTTTTATTAACATTATTTTCACTTATTTCCAACTTCATATTTTCATTAATTTCAATAACTGACATTTGATTGGAATCTCATAAGATTTCCAATGATTCTAAACATAGTTTTACTTCAAATCTAGTAAAAACTATCTGTTAGAACTCAATACTCAAATTAATTTAATATTTCATAAAATTATTCATTATAAAACATGATAACTGAACGTGTATATTACAAATACCTCCTCCTATTGAGGATTTTATCCCCGAAATTACATTGATTTAAATAAATGGGGATATTTTGCTCTTATCTCATTCTTATTTTCCCAAGTATAATTTGGGTCTCGATGGTGTTTCTACTTGACAAGCACCAACTCTACTTATTTATTACACAATTCGGTCGTTCTTTTGTTCACGATCTCTTCAGGTTCTTCCACATATGTTAACTTATTATTCAGTTTAACCTCAGATAACGAGATCGTTTCATCATATATGCTCAAGCATTTGCGCATAGAACTCACATGAAACACATCATGAATACATATAAAATCTTCTGGTAGTTCCAAGAGGTATGCTTGTTTACCAATTCTCTGGATGATTTTGAAAGGACCAACAAATCTAGGACTTAGTTTTCCTTTCTTTCTTAATCGCATAATCCCCTTCCATGGGGATACCTTCAGCATTATAAAATCACCCACCTGGAATTCTATAGGTCGTCTCCTCTTTTCTGCATAGGATTTTTGTCGATCCTAGGTGACATTTTGATAGAAGCGTGGTAACTGTTTTTATATGAAAATTCGACAAGAGGTAAGTACTTATCCCAGTTACCACCAAACTCCAAGATACATGCACGAAGCATATCTTCTACTGTTTGGATCGTTCTCTCCGTTTGACCATCTGTCTGGGGATGATAAGTTGTGCTGAGAGCAACTCGAGATCCCAATTCACGTTGCATATTCGCCCAAAAGTGAGAAGTGAAGCAAAGTATCAAGATCAGAAATGATCTTTAGCGGCACACCATGTCTTGCAACAATTTCATCCAAGTATACTTGTGCGTATTTCTCCATTGGAGCTGTTTCACGCATGACAAGAAAATATGCACTCTTAGTCAGACGGCCGACAATTATCCAAATGTTATCGTGCTGTTTAGCAGTCTTTGGCAATTTGGTAATAAAATCCATGAATAGTTCTTCCCATTTTCCACACGGAAACACTAAGAATTTCTGGAGTTCCGTAAGGCTTTTGGTGCTCTGTTTTGACTTGTAAGCATACTAGACATTTCTGCACATATCTTCCAATGCCTTTCTTTAATCCAGACCGCCAATAATCAGCCCGTACATCATAGTACATTTTACTTGTACTAGGATGTATAGACAACTTAGACTTATAAGTTTCATCTAAAATTTTATGTCTTAATCCACTAATCTTTGGAATCCATAACCAATTCTTAAATACCTTCAATCCCCGTGGATCATCAAGTAAAACATCAGTATAATGTATCATCCCTTCTTTCTTCGCATTTTCTGGCTTTAAGGCCTTTACTTGCCATTTCTCTAATTCATCAAGAAAAGTGAGCTTTACTGTCGTATGAGTAATAGTATAACACATACTATTACGATCAACTTTTCTGCTAAGAGCATCAACAACTACATTGGCCTTTAAAGGATGATACAAGATTTCACAGTCATAGTCTTTGATCAGATCCATAGCTTGTTGTTGTCTCATATTCAGAGTTTGCTGACAGAATATATACTTGAGACTTTTATGGTCGACAAACAATTGACATTTTGTACCAAAAAGATAATGTCTCCAAAGTTTTAGGGCAAATACCATTGTAGCAAGTTCAAGGTCATGGATGGGATAATTCTTTTCATACTCTTTCTGTTGGCGTAGGCTATTACTCTACCACGTTGCATCAACACACAATTGAGTCCCAATCTTGAAGCATCGCTATACACGGAAAAATCATTATCACATTCTGGAAGTGATAAGATCGGAGCATGAGTCAAAAGATCTTTTAAAGTCGAGAAATCTTTTTCTTGGGCTTCACCCCATTCTAAATTCACTTCCTTCCGTGTAAGACTCGTGAAAGGTACAACTATACGTGAAAAATCTTTAATGAATCTCCGACAATATCCTGTGAGACCCAATAAACTGCGAATTTCAGAAGCATTACGGGGTGCTTCCCAATTCTGAATGGTTTCATGCATTTTTCCACAACAAAAGGGGAGAAAAAGTATATGTTAAAGTCTATTTTCACATTTAATATAAAAACACAATGTTTGTCATCATTAGAAGGGGTAGGGAGATTGTTGGTGCGATTTATGCATGTGACTTGCATCGAATGAAAATCTCGTTTGTTTAGATGATAACAAATATTAAACCTTAATATTCTTATTTAAATAACCATTTTATCTATCGTGTAGATATTTGTTAAAATGTATTTTGATGAACAATCGATAAAAATAAAAGGTTCAATTCAATATTGGATGATGCGATTATATGAATTGGCTATGGACTTCATTTGATAGATGAGCACAAAAAATAGCAATGAAGATTTCAATTTTGGTAACAAATTGAAAATTTGTGGAGATTTAGGACAACCTTGCACGACAAAGCACATTATTCAAGTCGCATTATCCATGTCACAAAAACTTTAAAGGTATAAATTACTATTAAGGTGGGTGTAGATTATTTTCAAACAATCTCAAATTGCAATATTACATAACTAGGTGTGAGACCCGTATGTCATACGGGTTGGATAAAACAAAAAAATTAAATATGAAGGGTTAAACAAAAATTTATTTAAATTTGAAATTTTAGATTTGAAATTTAAAATTTAAAATTTGGATTTAAAAGGAAACATATTAAATACTATATGAGTAATAATATTGTAATTTATTGGTTATTTTTAATTAAGGTAATTATTAATTAATGTGTAAATATAATATGTTAATTAAGAAAAGATTAAAAAAATGAGAAAATGACAAATAGAAAAAATATTTATTCACTAATACCAAAAAATTACATGTGTATAAGTTAATAAGAGAGTAACATGTGACAAAATTATTTTCATTTATTAGAGAGGATAGGTGTAAAACTCATGTATTACACATGTTGATTAAAGAAAATAAAATATTGAAATGTAAATAATAAGTGATTTTTAAAATAAAATTTTGAAATAAAGAACGAAGAAACATATTAATTGCAATTTATTATAATATATATTAAATTTGATACTTTACATATATAAGTATAAGATTATGTGTCCTTTTAATATTAAAAATATTAAAAATCATAAATTGACATGTAAATATTATTTATTTAAATTTAAATTTAAATAATATCACAAAATAACAAGTGTTAAAACTTATTAGAGATTAACATGTGGTAAAAAAAACATTCGTTTATTAGAGATGATATATTTATTAAAATTTTGAAAAATAGATAAAATTTAATAAAAATGTGATTTTTTGTAGAAAATAAAAAGAAATAATTTTAAAAGCAAATTGCAATAAAATCATTAAGTTAAACGAAAATTCCAATTTAACATCATGTTATTTTTCTCTAAATTATATCGTCATATTTATAATTTTGTTACAATATCAACAAAATGACTGGTTCTTACAATAACAAATTTGTCCAAATTGTAATAAAATGACTAAATTTACCGAAAATTTCAATTATAACATCATGTTTTTTTTTTTTTTTTTTAAATCATGTCATTATATTTATATTATGGATAATATTTTCATCTGTATTTTATTATGCCCAGCATCATGAATTTATCATAATATATTGAATGACCAATGATCTTAAATTAAAGTAACATCTTGGGACTATCATCGTATTTCTTATATTGATGAATAAAAGGACAAAGACTTATTTGAGAATTTTTTTGAACTTACACCGCCAACGTAAGATCTTATGTCACATTAGGTTTTGTTGTTGTTTTTTATTTTTTTTAATCTATCACTTAAAATAAAATCATTAAAAATAATTTTTAATTTAACAGTATCAGATATTGTTTGTTTTATTAACTTCTGAAATATTGATAAAATTAAAAAGATATTAGATTTGATGTTCTAAAAAATTTAAAATAAAACCCTAAAAAACCATACTATTTTCCATATTGCACTCAAAATCTGTAATAAATAAATTAGTATAAAAAAAAAATAAAATAAAATAAAATAAAAAAAAAACCTATGGATTGGAATTCAATCTTGAGCTTTTGATGGAGGCGGTTTTGTACGGTCGTGATAGAAGATGCTGGACCCCTATTCCTTTGGTGACTGCAGAATGGAGAAAGATATATAAATCCAAACTCATTCCCACCTCGCTTCCTTTTGTTTTCTTGGTTACAACAGTTTCAGTTAAAACCACGCTCATCTTCGTGGGTCTCTGTGGGCTTCTTCTTTTTCTTCTACTTTTCGCTATTTTTTTCATCATTCTTCTCTTTGACCCTTTCTTGTTCTTCACTAAATTCTATTTTTCATCAATTTTGGATCGAATTTCGTTTGTTTCTTCTTGAATTTAATCCTAGCGGTGCTCGGATATATGAAACCGCTCCTGTTTTCAGTTTCACCAAGAAAATAAATATTCGCATATCTCAGCCTTTTTTAATATACACATTTTTTTTTTCTTTATAATCCTCGAATATATTCTTTCTTTATTTGTTGAGAATTTTTTTTTTTGATTTAATTGTGCATGGTTATCTTTTTAGCATTCCCTTCCTTTTCCCCCAACGATTTTTCATGGAGTAATGATTTTTATTGTTTCTTTAATTGAATACATTATTTTCTCTTCGATTAGTAATTCGGTTATTATATACAAAACAATTCTCTCATATCAAACAATTTCCCCTTTCTTTTCTGGGATTTGTTTATCGTTTTAGGTTATTTTTACTAGTCATTGATTTGGTGCTTGGTGTTTTGTTAGTCTTGATTAGGTTGAATCCTTCCCGTTTATTTTAATTTTGTTCTTCAATTTCACCATTGTTCCTAGAAGATTGAACAATTTGGGGAACTGGGGTTTCTTTCTCAATTCGTAATATCATCCGGATATGTTCCAATTGTCAACAATTTTAGAGTATCAATCAGGTTAGGGTTCTTCTTATCGATTCTATGAATGTTTAAAATTTCTTAATTCTCTTTTCTCAATCTCTGACATAAGAAGTATATGCATTTTTGTCTCCTTATAGAAGTAGATCTATACATGCCGCCCTAATAGTTTCTTAATTATTATATTGCAAGAATCCTAATTAGATCTTACAGTTTTTGATTTTGTTTGTTAGTAGCATCTGTACATCAATCAGAGAAATGTCATATAATAGGTGCAAGATTTATTCTGATGATCATGGAAAATGTTTGTGTTGCCTTATTATTTTATATATTATAATGATCTTGGATGCCTACTTCATACTTCTTGGATTCTTTGATTAAAATGCTCTATATCTATATACAATATGGCTTATTGAACAACTTTTTTTATAATGATCTTCAAATCATGATTAGATTCTTCAAGTTGTAATAATCAGTTTGAAAATGTCATTCAATGTAGAGAACTAGAGATATGGAATATGATTATGAAGATATCAAAGGTTGACTTTGTTTTAATCAAGTGTAGTTATGACCATGTCCGATATTGGAATGTGTAATGTTTTCAAGGGCAAATCGGTCATATGACACACTACCTCATTGAAGAGTCCCTATTATTTACACCTTCCATTCATTGAACTTATTCTATAAAATTGAAATAAAGGAAAAGGGTGAAAAAGAAGTTATGACTTAATGGAGAAAGTGTTATAAGTTTTTGTATATGTTATCAGGGACATATGAAGCCACTATCATAATCAGATAAAGTTGTATGCTATGGAAACCATTGTGAATGAAGAAATAGACACAGATATTATTAGTCAATGTGAGACAGTGAAAGTCAAACGACTTGTTAGGCGTACAAGTTCACCAAGATATCAACTCTCTGATACAACCACTGAACCACAGATTTCTCATAATAAGCAAATGAAGGTTACTTTCTTTTGTTTTGTAAACTTTTCTTTATATTCTGATCAAGTTTTATAAAATTGATGTTTGACATTGAAGAAGCAAATGGTTTTGGAATCTTATTTGAATATTGTTTTTGTAGGATCGATGTTCTAAAAACACCCCGAAAGATGATCAGAGTCTTGAGTCAACAGGCAGCCCTCGGAATCAAAAGGTAGGAAGCCAATTGTTGTGATTATAGCATCCTACTTTCATTTGAAAAATCTACCTAATTATTATAGCAAAATTTTCATCCAAATATGAAGCAATATAATTTATGAGATTATATTTTGTTTTGTTAATGCAGATAACAGCTAGATGGGATCCCTCTGAGGCTTGTAGGCCTAATGTAGATGAAGCACCAATTTTTTATCCAACCACTGAGGTAATATTTTATTTGAAAATTGAAATTATATTTTTCTTTTTTCAAAAACCTTGTATTGCAATCGGTGTGCATCGGATTAGAACTGGAACTGATGTTGACATGACAAAAATTGCATTTTTTTTTTTTTTTGTTTTGTCTCTCCCAAAAAGATGAGATCGTGACTCCCTCTCGATCTCTCGTCTGTGTAAAAAGACGAAAATGCCCTCATCATCGAAGATAGCCCTAGAAAAGCTTCTCTGGTCCCTTTTTGTCATTTCCCGTGCAACAAATGCAGCCTTAGGCTGCATTTATTACACGGGCCACTACCGAATGGGACTGGACAAGCTTTTCTAGGGCTGTTTTCGATGATGAGGGCATTTTCGTCTTTTTACACAGACAAGAGATTGAGAGAGAGTCACCATCTCACATCTTTTTTGGAAGGGACAAAACAAAAAAAAAATTGTAGTCCAATGCACACATCATTTTGAATGATATTTATTGAATTTTTTTCATTGATTAGGAGTTTGAAGATACAATTGGTTACATATCAAAAATAAGAGCAGTAGCAGAAGCATATGGGATATGCAGAATTGTACCTCCTTCTTCTTGGAAACCTCCATGTCCTTTAATGGAAAAAAAGTTTTGGGAAGAAGCAAGATTTTCCACAAGAATCCAACAAGTTGACTTGCTTCAAAATCGGGAGCCCATGAAGAAAAAAAGAGGGAGAAAAAGAAGAAGGAAAACATACACAAGAAGATGTCCTAATCGTTCAGAAGGAGGCTCAGAGTCGAACGCTTCTTCAGACAGTGATGACAAATTCGGGTTTCGATCGGGATCCGATTTCACATTCCAAGAGTTTGAAGAGTTTGCAAAGAAGTTCAAGGAGCATTATTTCGGAATGAAGGAAACACAGGGACTGGAACCGTCAATTGAAGAAATCGAGGGTGAATATTGGAGAATAATCGAACAGCCGACTGATGAGGTGGAGGTGTATTACGGGGCGGATCTTGAAACGGGTGTTTTCGAGAGCGGTTTCCCAAAAATTTTAGAAAATAATGAATCGGATCAATACGTGAAATCCGGTTGGAATTTGAATAATTTTCCAAGATTAGCGGGGTCCGTTTTATCTTTCGAAGGATGTGATATTTCGGGTGTTTTAGTCCCTTGGTTATATGTTGGCATGTGCTTTTCCTCTTTTTGTTGGGTAAGCTTCAACTTCTAAAATTTTAAGTTACATTTTTGGTCCCTGAATATATCTGGTTTTTTCAACTTTAACCCCAAAACAATTTATTTCCTTCATCACTATTTTTTGGACCAAAGATCAAAGAAATAAGGACCAAAAATGTATTTTACTCTTTAAGTATACGCATTTTTTAGATTACGTGTTTATTTGTTTTTGGAAAAAAGCATGTTGAAGATCACCACCTATATTCGGTAAACTATATGCATTGGGGCGACCCGAAAATGTGGTATGGAGTACCCGGAAGCCATGCGAATGCGTTGGAAGATGCAATGAGGAAGCATCTACCTGATTTATTCAAGGAACAACCAGATCTACTCCATCAACTCGTAAGATTTTTTTTTTATTTTCCATTAAATAGTGTCTGGATAAAGTGCTGGATAATGATGTAATTTTAACAGGTTACTCAATTGAGTCCTAAAGTTTTGAAGTCTGAAGGGGTCCCGGTTTATCGAGCTTCTCAGTGTTGTGGAGAATTTATTGTTACTTTTCCAAGGGCTTATCACGCGGGATTCAATTGTGGTTTTAACTGTGCGGAGGCTGTCAATGTGGCGCCTGTTGATTGGCTGGAACATGGACAAGGTGCAGTGGAGGTGTACAGTCAGCAAAGACGCAAAACATCAATATCTCATGACAAGTTGTTATTAGCAGCAGCGAGAGAAGGGATTAGGGCTTTATGGGAAGTTTCATTTTTGAATAAACAAACTTCTGAAAATTTATATTGGAAACGCGTTTGTGGGAAGAATGGGATACTCACCAATGCTGTCAAGGTAAAAAAATATATATATTAAAATTTTAATTGTTGTTTTTTTAATGTTCTTTTAATATAATAATTTCAGGGGAGAGTTGAAATGGAGATAAAAAGGATCGAGCACCTTCAAACTAGTTTTCAGTTTCAAAAAATGGAAGATGACTTTGATACAACTAATGAAAAAGAATGTTATCTATGTTTTTATGACTTGCACATGTCAGCAGCCACCTGTACATGTTTGCCAGATGGATTCGCGTGTCTAAAACATGCAAATCTTTTATGTTCTTGTGATCCCAAACAACGTGTGGTTTATCTCCGTTATACCCTCAATGAATTGACCACACTGGTGAATTCACTCGAGGGTAACTCAGATGCCCTACAAAAATGGGCATCTGAAAAGTTTCAATTAGACCCCAAGAGGGCGTTTTCAGAAGACCATAAATGTTTGTCTTCAGTTCCTGTAAAGGAAGAAGCTTTTGATATGTGTGTGAATGAAGAGATGAAAGTGGGACATGGGTGCTCGATAGATTTGAATCTTGATAACATTGGTTCAACAAAAGTGGAGAAGAATAATGATGAATTTGATGATATTAAGGTTGAAGTTGTAAACGTTGGATCAGTAGCTTTTGGGAAACTATGGTGCAATAATCAGGCGATATTTCCGAAAGGTGGTGTAGCATCATAATATGATATATCATCTTACTTTCATTTCTTTGTATTAAAGCATTGTACTTGTTCTAATTTTGTTGCATTTAAAAAATGTAATTTGTTATTTTTTTAATATGTTTTAACTGTAAATTTACATTTTCAGGATACCGAAGCCGAGTAAAATACTTGAGTTTTCTCAATCCTCGGGAAATGAGTAGCTACATTTCAGAAATTCATGATGGTGGACTAATTGGACCTCTTTTTAAGGTATCCTAATTTGACTTATAATGGCATAATTAGTTTCTTGTTATAGGCAAAAATGTAAAAAGTATATATTCAACCATTTTATGGATTTAGGCACTTATCATTTTACCATAAAAAAAAAAATTCAGGTTTTTTTAGAAGAATGTCCGAATGAGAGCTTTATGGAGGTGTCAGCAGATAAATGCTGGGAATTAGTGCTACAGAGGCTAAATCAAGAAATGTTGAAAAACAGTGAGTTGGCATCAGGTGACGTGAGGCTGCCACCTGGCGTTAATGGGCTTGAAATGTTCGGGTTATCGTCTCTAGACATTATTCAGGTACACTTATGCTCCTATAATTAAGGAAGTGGATTATTTAATGGGAAAATTGCCTATTTTATTCTATTTATTGATATGGGCAATGTACTTTATTAGCTATAATAATGGGTAAAAAATAAAGTACATTACCTATAGAGTAAAGTACATTGCTATTCCCTGCAATGTACTTTCCTTTTTATTGATTGGTGCTGACTAGGATGTATTTAACAGGCAATTGAGGGTCTTGATGTGGAGCATAGGTGTGTTGAGTATTGGAAGAATAAATTCAACTCAAATGGTAGAGAAGAATAGATGCTGATTTTGATGAGGTTGACCTTGACCATTGACTTGTTAGGATAATTCTTTCAATAGAAAAATCTTAGATCATATCCAAGTAGAAAGAAATTCAACTTATATAGGTTTTCTTGTTTTAGAACAGTTGCTAGCATTAGCATACATCTCTTTCATTTTCTCATTCATGAAACAAAATTGAATAAAAGTAAAAGAAAAAGGTACTTGGAAATTTACATATGGGATTCTTACAAGTATTTTCTTTGTTTTATGTCCCACCTAAAAAGTGAGACAAGAACTTGCTCCTCTTAATTTTTTTGTTTATATTTTGTTGATATTGTTTTCCCATGAAGCTTTAATGGTTATAGTAATATGTTATTAGTTTAGGTTGTTCAAATAACAACTTATATGTATCAATGGTTTGATCATTGAACTTTATTTCCATTACTATAATCATTAATTGCGAAGAATGCTAAAAATTATTCAGATTCAAGCTGAGAAAAAATATTCAATTTTCAAAAATCGTTGTGGAGTGAAGAGGTTACTTGTGATAATTTGATTCACGTTCCTATCCTTTGGATGAATTGTAAGTAACATATTTTTTAAGGAGGCTCACATGAAGGAGTCGTTATTCGAGTGCATAGTTGTTTCTTATACATGGATTGCAAGCTTGCAACTAGATTAAAAAGTTCAATGTTAGTTGGGCAGATTTGCTTTAATATCCATTGATTATATGAATATGAAAGTTACATTTGTAAAAGGTAAAAAAATGTTTTGGTATTTTAAGCCAGATGCTAAAAAGGTGTGAAGTAGTAACCAACAAACAAATAAAATATGTTTTTTATGGGATATTTATTAAACTAACTATTACAAACGACGTGTTTAACAAAAATAACCAAGTTTTTTTTTTTAAACAAAAATGCTCATTTTGTCCTAAATGGTTCGTTCCAGACTTGTATGTGAAATCTTAGGTGACAACACTTTCACCAAAATCACTAATCTTCAACAAAGGCTTCAAAAAGAGACCAAATCCAATGATCAAGTCCAAAATTGTTTATTGGATTTAAGACTCATTTTAGTAAAAAAAAAAATGAAGTGTTTCAGATTTGTTATTTTTAGTAACAAACCGGTGAGTTTTTTATATTCATTCTTGTTAATTTGCGACTATTTTAGATTCATTCTTTGGGTATTTCTAACTTGTTTTAACCAAATAAAAAAAACACTACAAATATCGTAAATATATGTGGAGCCTCATATTAACACTCCAAAAGAGTCATTGTGTAGAGAATAGAGACTCCAACATATATAATCACTTATAAGACCGTGTCGCACCGATGTGTGATACATAACACTCCCTCTCAGAATCGGAGGATTGATGAAGATAGACAATGATGTGCTTAGCCAACGGGTGCGAGACGCTGACTCTGATACCATGTACATATATATGTGAAGCCCAATATTGTCTCTCCAAAAGAGACATTGTTGAGAGAAGTGAACTCCAACATATATAGTCACTTAAAATACCGTAACATCAAAATATCATATTTACCCAACTTAATTTCTAAATATTATATTTACTCTTCATAAAATTTCAAAATATCATATGTCCATATCTAAAATATCCTCCATCTACAACATAATAATAATTGACAACAACAAAAACTAAACAATTAAAATATAAATTTTATAGAAAGGGGTGAACATGAATTTTTTTTTGTCTGTCAAGAGGCCGACATTCCAACAATTTAGAAGTTCATATTCTATTATCATAGACGTAAGGATAATATGGTTAAATTTCTTGATTGCTATAATAATTCTAAGGTATAAAAAATGACTATAAAATATTAAAAACATTATAAAAAAGTATTTGGGCAAATATAATATTTTGAAGGTTTATAAAAGGTAAATATGATATTGACTAATTAAGATGGGCAAATATTATATTTTGAAGTTTAAAAAAAGGCATATGAAATTCTCCTAACAAATAATTTTAAGTACGGTACTAAAAATATATATTTTGGCTGCACACACAACAAATACAAAACACATATCCTAGTCCAGAATACTATGAACCATTTTGAAAAGGTGTTTGAGATGCTTTGTTTCGGGCTTATATAGATAAATCTAAAAAAACTTTTAGTAACAAAGTAAATTACGATATAAAAATGTTATATGTTGTCATTTTGATGAATAAGCGATTAATCCAAACATGTCACGTGTAGGGCTACCAAAAATTTTCTGAAAGATGAGATGATATTGTTAATGAAAATGAAATAAACATTAAATAAGTTTCAAATGATTGTCTTAGAAGTATGGAACAACCTATTCGAAAAACTAACTTTATTTCAACTAAAGAACTTTGTCATGTCTCATCATTCCGAAACGGAACGAATCCACTTTTTAATATGTCATATTTTAGAATACATTTACATCAAATCTCATCAACTCCATAACAAATATTATAACTCTTCGTGCTCCCAAACAAGTTGGTTATTTTTTATAATAGAGATAATATTGTCATTTTTTTTTAAATATATCAATTACGCCGGTTAATATAATCAATATCCCGTTTTTTAGGGACTGGCTAAAAAGACACCTTATTACCATTTAGACAATCCTAATTAATGTTTGAAATATTTTTATTGGTTGAAATAATATTATTTTTCGAGAAAACTGATTACAAGTAGTTAGATTATAGGTTAACTTTTTATAAAAATGATTATAGGGTGTCTAGGGGTGTCTAATTAGCAGCACCTTTGCTAAAATAGAGATCATATCAAAATGATTATCATGTAATAATGACTTCAAATTTGTATGTAGAAAAAATCAAAACCAAAAATGTTCAATCAAAGTTCAAAGGGTTTTCCTACAAATCCTAGTCTTTTAGCACATCGAATAGCCAATAAGAATACCTTGCCCCTTATCAAGATCTTCTACGAATCCGATTGTCTCCTAGCTATGATGATGATGCCATTTGTAGTAAAAGGGACCCTATCCATCATCCATCACCAAATCCATATTTGGCGCTCCCACACCTTCCATTTGAAAACCATCCTCTTCTCAGTTCTCAAATGGCCAGACACTACTCGGAAGCTCATATCTGCCAGTGCTTGAGTCGGTTATCAACTTTCCGGCGTAATTCTCCGATCACAATCTACGGCAGTAGAGTTAAAACTGGACAAGAGTTTGTTAAAGGAGTTTTGGATCTCTCTTCTGGACTCATCCACTTCGGTTTGAAATCCGGTGACGTTGTAGCCATCTCTGCGTTCAACAGGTTCCTTATTCTGCTTCAATTACTCTGTTTTTCATACAAATTTAGATTGTTTTGTACTTGATGCTGCTGCTCCTCCCGTCCAAAAAGCCCAGTATGACTTCAGAATTTCAAACATTTTAGTTTCTTAATTTAACATTGACATCTCTATGTTTCAATTCGTAGCTTAACCTAAACAATCATTATCGTTCTGTGTCTAGATTTACATTGTTTTCTTGCTTGTGATATAAGTTTATAGTTCTGCACAAATGTTAATGTTGCAAATTCTGTGAACATCCCAAATGGGATTCAGAATCAGAAGAGTACACTCGTAACAGTTCCAACTGATTATATGTGATTTCGACATTCAAAACCAAATCCTGTCTACGAACAACACTATCTGTATATAATTGTCATCCATGGTTTTTGCTTTTCAAGTAGTCATTGTAGCAATTTATTGTTTTCAACTTCCACATAAATGCTTACATTACATACTCACAATTGTTTCAGCGATCTATATCTGGAGTGGTTATTGGCTATCACATTTGTTGGGGCAATAGCTGCAACCCTCAACTACCGATGGGTAAGTAAATATCAGTGGACTCCATGAGTTATTTGATTTATTGACATAACATAAATCTCATCTTGCTACACCATTGCAAACCTTATGTGTTCATAGCTTTTTTTACACATTATTAGAGCTTGGAGGAGGCTCTATTTGCTATGGAAGATGTGAAGCCAATCATGTTGATCACTGACAACGAGTATAACACTAACTGGCATTCAGATTTTCAAGCTCATTCTCTTCCTTCTCTAAAATGGCATGTTCTCATGGACACCCATAACAGATACAGCTCTACAGGGAACAACAGTATGTAACTTATAAAATATTAAAATAACACCTCAACATATAGCAACTTGAGATAATTATGTCATTAATGTCAATTTACATGCTATTGTGTTTTTATTGACAGTATTAACTACCAATATGCTTAAGATGCCTTCTCCAAAACCCCAATCATTCAACTACACTTTAACCTGTAATGGAGTAGCAATCGTGTGCTTCACTTCAGGTACTTTCTCAAAACAACAGATGGAGTCTTATCAGTTATCATTTATATTTATTAATTTTGTTATGAAAGCAGATAAATAAATAAATATATTTTTTTGTTTTGTGTTTGTAGGGACTACAGGAAGGCCAAAGGGTGTCATGTTAAGTCATTCAGCTTTGATTGTACAATCTCTTGCCAAAATTGCTGTTATTGGTTACACTGAGGATGATGTATGCAAGTTTTGATCTTTTTCCTTTCAATTTCTTGCTTTTAACCTTAAAAATTTCAAGTCTCTTGATCTTCATATATGACAGGTGTACTTACATACTGCTCCACTAGGACACGTGGGTGGACTATCATCAGCTCTAGCCATGCTTATGGTAGGAGGACGCCATGTCATGATGCCAAAATTTGAAGCTGAGTCAGCTCTTGAAGCTATTGAAAACCATCATGTCACTTCCTTCATAACAGTTCCTGCAATTATGTCTGATATGATTTCTTTCATCAGGTTTTTTTTTTCAACAAATACATATACAAACTGCATTTCCATTCGTAAGTATTCTTTCTGTATTCATTCTTCATGACTTTATATCAGATTTTCAGGGAGAAAGATACATGTAAAGAGTTGATAATGGTGAAGAAGATTCTAAATGGTGGTGGAAGCCTTTCAGCCAATCTAATCAAAGAAGCAACAAACGTTTTCTCCACAGCTGCCCTTTTCTCAGCTTATGGTTGGTTTATATTTACTTTCAGTTTTCTTTTTATGAAGAGGGTATTTACGTCTTTTTCTTTTGAAGGGATGACTGAGGGTTGTTCTTCTCTAACTTTCATGACACTTAATGATCCCACAACAACAAGTGAACAAGAAGAAGGTGTTTGTGTTGGAAAGGCTGCACCACATGTTGAGTTGAAGATTAGCACAGAGGATTCAAACTCAGATTCAGGCCATGTTGGACAGATTCTAACAAGAGGGCCCCACTTAATGATCGGATACTGGGGGGACCGGGACCACCATATTCCAATAAAATCTAGGTGGCATGAAACCGGTGATATAGGGAGAATAGATGATGATGGTAACTTATGGCTTATTGGACGCATGAAAGGGCGTATCAAAAGTGGAGGTGAAAACATCTATCCTGAAGAGGTATCAATATAGACAATCTACTTTTTTTTTTTTTTTTTTTTTTTTTTTTAATATATATACACCTGACAAGTTTGTTATATATATTTTTTTGTTAAAATGTAGGTAGAAAGTGTGATGTTAAAGCATTCTGGGATATCTGGAATTGCAGTGATTGGAATTCCGGATTTGCGTTTGAGTGAAAAGGTGGTTGCTTGCATCCAATTAAACCAAAGCTGGACATGGACAGATTCAGATTCAGATTCATCTACACACAATCAACAATGCATATCCGCTCAAATGCTCCATCAATTTTGTAGAAAAAATAATTTGACTGGGTACTTTTTATTTTAATTGCAAAATATAATTACTTTTTTTCACCATGTTACTAATTTATGTTTCTTCTGTTTTACAGGTTCAAAGTTCCTAAAATGTTTATAAGATGGAACAAGAAGTTCCCGATGACAACAAGTGGGAAATTGAGAAGAGATGAACTCAAAGCTCAAGTTTTGCTTCATTTAAACTTACTCTCAAGCAGCCTATAACATAGTTTCTTCAGTTTTACAACATTTGTTTCTTTTATATTTAAAAAAAAAAAAAAAAAAAAAAAAAGGTTGATAAGAAAGCGTTTTTGTGCATAAGCTACTTAAGTTGATAGTTACCCCCACCGAAGGGTTGTTAAGTGCATGGACTTGATTGTTATCAAAGTGTCCATTAAGGACCACCGGTGTTAAAATCTCAATAAAGAAAACCAAAAGTGTTAAAAATAGACAACTACAAGGAAAAAGACTGTAATTTACTTTAAAAATAATGTTAAAAATAGATGAATTGTTTTTTAATATCATTATTGGAAGAAAAATAAACGCTGAGTTGGAAATGGTTATAATATTTAATTCGTAATAAGAAAATTTCAAAATATCTAGAAAAAAATACAAGTCAAAAGTATTTCCAAAAGAAAGTAGATACTAGTCAAACAGAATTGTAACATAACAACCCCATTTATCAAACTAGTCAATTTGTAAACAACCCTGTCACTCTTCAAGAAACCTTATCTATTTGTAATTATGTGACCTAAGCTTAAAATATACTCGATTGGGACTTTTTATGCAGTTTTCTTGAAAATAAAAAATATATACATGTTTCGGTTTTATTATACATTTATCAATACTATAATAAAATACATCAACTTTTTATAAATAAAAAAAAAAAAAAAAAAAAAAGAGGAGTTTGATGTCAACCAACTCTTCTATATATTTCTATGTATTTCAGTTTTTTTTTTTTTTTTTAATTGTAGTCAATATTTAAATATCATGTGTAAAGCATAATTTAATAATTTTTGCGTATATTTGAAAATTTTATTATAATTATGGCGTGAAAGGGGGCAGATGTTGATATGATGATGAATGAGGTTGAAATGGGTGGGAAAGGGTTGAAAAATGCAAAATGCGTGGACGATTTTCAAATCCGTATTTAAATGTCGGTCAAACATTCCATTTAAAACGTTGCCATTATTGCTATTCACATAGAGTAGGCCATAACTTATTTAACATAAATCACTTAAAACCACAATGTTTATATTATGATAACCTAGATTTTTTTATTTTTAATTTATGTAATAAGGTGGTTTCAAACTAAAAATCTAATTATAGTTTATGGTGGGAATGAAATATGCAATAGTTTACTTTAAATGAATTGATTTATGTAAAAAAAATACATTATTTTTATCTATTTTTTTGTCCTGACAATTATTATAAGAAAATACAAATACTAAGGTTTTGAGGTTGCCAATAATATAAAAAGAAAATTACAATACGAATATATAAAGTATTTTATATAAGACACGTTAGACAATACATTATGCTAGAAGTAGGATGTAACTATGGAAGACAAGAAAAATTATAGGAAGTAGTAAAGTACAACCTTGGTCATGCATTTTATGAGTATCAAATATACCCACTCAGACAAAATAATTCACGAAAAAAACTTTTTAATTCGAAGTCACGGTTCTTTTGGCAGGAGAAAGAACGGTTTTTTAAAATCGACTTGGCGAATACTTGTGCTTTACTTTAGCCTTGCACGAGTTAAACTTATATACTTATAATTTTAAAAATATGTATTGTTCAAAATAATTATTTTACCGATATTAACTATAAAATAATAATTTTTATATTAAGTTGGTAAAAATTTTAAATATTTTTGAATAGTAATATTAACTATTTTATGTTAGTCATTCTAAAAATTATTTATTTGATCATATTTTATTTTTGACAGTAATGATTATATAAAATATCAAACATAATGTAATATCTAACTTTATGTTGTATATCGTTATTATTGTTAATTCTTTCCAAATTCAGTTATCATTATTAAAGAGTTACATAATATTTTTTAAACGATATTTTCAATAAACTATTGATTTGGCTAATTTGGTGCTTCTTACCAAATGGTGGTGGCAACTAAGGAGGGGATATAATTCGTTTTGGTATTCTTTCATAAAGTCATTTCATAAGGTAATGCTTGTTGATGGTAAACATCTTGCTAAGAAATCCATAAAAGGTGTGTGATTGACTATATCTCAAATCGTCATAGAAATGGAAGCTAAAGGTATTTCTATTTCGGAGCTTGATGCGAAGTGAAGGTTATTTCTTTGGCGGGTCTCCACTTGGCGATCGAGTCCTGGAACACAAGGGAAAGAACGCCAACCGTACTCCAGGAGGAGATCTTGAGAGGACGCTCCGACGGTCAAGTTAGTGGTTAAAGTGAGAGAGTATCTCTTGAGAGTGGGAATCAAGAGGTTACCGTTAAGAAGATGATCGACGCCCTTATATAGTTGGCATGGAGGACGCTTTCCTCTCTCAAGGGACAAAGGTGTCATCCCTAATCCATGATAGGGCTGATCATTTTAGGAGATATCCTCTATCATCTGCTTTGGAATGTGATTGGTCCAAATGAGATATTGGTGGTGTGTGTACCATTAAGGTAGTCGAATGACACTGTTTTGTCGCTAGAAGATTCTCCCGCCAGAATCCAGGATGAGCACTTACCAGGAAGACTACTCTCGCGGACGTAATTTTCTGGCTGGCATCGGATCGCTCCCGTCCAGTCTCCTGCACTGGATCCGAGGCGTCTCTGTTTGTCGTGTACCTATGATTCTCTATCAAGTTTGTCTACTCTTAGCCATCATGGCATGGGCTTGCTTAGTCATGATGGTTGACTACTTTGTATAGCCATCGCTCGACGGTTGAGTATCCGTCTATCAGTTTCCTTGGATGTGACCATTATTTTCGGGTGACATCAGTTGCATTTAGCCATTATTACGGGTTTCTCTCCCATTTCTATATATATTATATATTCATTTGCCTTCTCTATCATTTTACTCTTTTCTGCCTTTCTCTTATTGTTTGTTGTTTTCCTTCTTCAAGAGTTCTTCATTGAGTCTCTTGCCGGTATTTTTCCTACTGTTTCTTAATGGGAAGGTTTTCAGAGTCGCTATGGGTTTCAGCTCGACGATGGGATCTTGATTCTGGTGGAAGGTTCTGTTATTACCCATCCTCCTCCTAGTAAGGTTGGAATCTATCTGGAACACTTCGATGATGGTTATCGTCTGCCATCCTCTGATTTTCTTCTAGAACTGTTGGATCACCATAAGATTCATATTGATCAACTTGTCCCAAATGATGTGAATAAGATTGTCACCTTAGAGTTGTTGTGCCGATGTAATGGTATTGTGCCTGATATTTGGGTATTTCGTCATTTCTTCCATCTTTCGCTTCTTCTCCTAGCGACAACTATACTTTTTGTGTGAGGATGTATAAATTCTTGTGACTGCTCGGAAGGGCTCTCCTAAGAATTGGCATAACCACTGGCTTTGGGTTGATGGTGAGAAGGTTGGTCGAATGTTTCTTCATGTCAAGTCTTCATTCGATACTGCAATAGAATTTTTTCCGGAGAAGGAGGACGTTGTTAGGGTCTTAAGGGGCTTAGAATTTGTAGTTGATGATTTTCCGAAGTATGCGTTGGATGGGGAAGGGATGAGTACTCCATGGAGGTTACGTGGAAAGATGCATGATTTATTTGTTGTTTGTCAAGGGTACGTTCTTCCTTCTTGCTTCTTTTTTCTCTATATCTTCTTCTATTCTCCTTTCATTTTGTCACACCCCCAAACCAGAGCGGCAGAAACATCCGGGGGCAGATGACGCCATTGTATAGTATCATAACAGTTGAATATAAATGAAAAATAGCAACCCAAACATCATACATTGAAAATACATGTGTTCATAGTTTACATATTGTGTTTGTTCAAAAATTACACAACAAATGATTGAAAGTAGAGTTCTAGAATGCAGCAACTAATGTTCTCAAAGATTTGGATACTTGTTTACTGGTTCCCTGAGAATACAAGTGATTTTGAAAAGTGTCAACAATAATGTTGGTGAGTTCATAAGCATTTTATATGAATAGGGTTTGTAACTGCTTTGTTTAAAAATAGTTTTGTATACTTCCAGAAAATCTATTATTTTTTATAAAATGGATTGTTAGTCTTATATCCACGACTAAAAATGTATGTAGGTCTTTTGTATCTTTTTCCTTGCAAAATGATGATGTATGTATGCGTCCAGAAAATCCAATATTTTCTTATGTGAACTGTAGTCTTAAATCCTAAGGTCAGAAATGTAAGCAATAATGTATTGAAAGGTAGTATGTAGTTTTATATTTTTATAAAACCAATGAAGTGTAAGCTTCCTGGAAACCCAGATAGTATTGTTAATCCTTATGTGAGTTATTATAACCATGCTTAATATGACTATTATGCTTTTACGACATTCTTCAGGCGTCAGAATCGATAGATATTTGTCACCCTAGACTTGCCGATCTAAGTGTAGCGAACAACTTAGGTCTGGGGTTGTCAATCCCATATATATTTATACACAACTATCTCGCTGTCCCTCCAGGAGACTCTAGCTATAATGCAAGACTTAAAGAGTACGATAGGTAGGTACAGTGAAGAGAATGTCTCACTAGAGATGAGAGTTTTCGGGGCTAGCTTCTTATGGGAAGTTGATAAACTTCTTGGAAGTGTGATTATCCTAAGAGTTTCACATGCGAATGGTGTGTAAAAATGATGGAACTTTCACAATATTGTGTTAAATCACTAGTGGGTTTCGAATATACTTACCAAAAACTCTAGTACCGACTTGATGGTGATGAATCTTGGAGAAGTTTGAGCTTGATTTAGAGAGAGTAACAAGTATGAAGTAAGAAAGGAATGGCAAGATTGGAAGAACTCCACTCTCAACCGAGAGTTAAATGGAGGTGGGAAAAGTTTTCTTTCTTGTTATTTAGTGGTCCATTATATGTCATGCATGGAGGTTTGACGTGTAATTGCGTGTAGGGTATGGATGTTTGATGATTAAAGGGATGTAAAGTTTTTTTAGTTGAACTTTGTATCATGTTTTTAACATATCTCACCATGGCTAGTCGAACTAAGTTTAAGTCTATGAGTGATAGTGATAATGATATTCGTATAGCGAACATGAGGATTTATATGATGCCTTATGAGAAAGTGATATTCTTTTATATTTTGAGTTACACTTAGATTTAAGGGTTCCATGGACAATATAATAGTAGATGAGGCTTTGATTGTCCAATAAGTCTTACATTTTGCTTCTAAACCACATCAACACATACTTCCCTTAGTTATTTGGTTATTCGGTTACGATGAATTCAATTGGGAAGGATTGTGTTGAAATATTGATTATCGAGATATTTTAGTAATTAAATTGAGTATATGATACTTTTTATATTCACATTCGTGACATCCTCTATTTTCTAGAACTGAAAAAAAAAATTCCTTTACACTTTAAAAATCATGTTAGCTTTGTTTGTGGAAAATCCCAATACAATAAAATATTTTGCAGAAACTATCTCATTTTATTAAAATATCGAGTACAGATGTTGTTTCAAAATAACAAAACCTTAAGGATGTCATAATCAATATAATACATAAGTTACAGTATAAAGACCTAATGGTCGTGTTCACTATTGCATGTTATCTCTTTAAATCACTCATTATCTTATTCAAGCTCTAGCGGCCTTAACGTCGCTACCTGTCATGCATATAATTAGAGTGGGTCAGGTTTGGGAAACACTGGTGAGATACATAGGGGTTTTAATACCATAATATTTTAATGATAATAATTCATATTCAATAAAGTTGTAAAACCAACTGTTATCAAACAATATATCATATAACATACATATTTATAAAATGGTCTACCCTTAGTTACCCATTTTGTCGATTCTCACATATTGATGGAAATTTAGTTTAGTCTATGGTTGTCATCCTACTCTGGCAGATGACTAGACTTACCCATCGGTAGCCTGATACAAACACGCCATTTTTGGTTGTCAAATACAAACACATCATTTTTGGTTATCTAAAAAGAGGAGGAATACTAGAACATTACTTCGGTATGTAACCCGTACACCAACACTAATAGTGTCATAGAACAAAGCTCTACTCCCTGTTCCAATCTCACACACACCCTTAATATGATGTTATCCAATATCCAACTTATTTGAACTAATCATTACTTTCAAGTGTTAGTTTATAACTAGACAATGCTACAATACTTGTAATCAATCTCAAACACAAATTTCCTGCTTATGCAATATCATCGCAATACAAGGTATAACTAAACACTCATTCAATTGCTTTTGAACTAAATATCCTTGACAAACCTTAGTTTGTAACTAGACCATATCACAATACTTGTAATTTTCCTTTTAATATAGTTTTTTGGTCATGCTATACTATAGGGTATGACGATACATTAATTCAACTTACTTGGAACTAAATATCCTTTATATTTCTTAGTTTAAAACTTAGATAAGACTACAGTCCATGTAATCAACTTTCAATACCAACCATGTTTGGACAACGCTATCATATATTTAACATAGAGTATCATGTATTTAATATACATTAATCTTTTAAGAAGTAATACTTTCATTAAGATTTTCATGTAATAATATCGTATATACACTTAACACATGTATAACCATATCTGGTTCGCACAATGTATGTAACATAATATTACCAAATATACATTTAACACATATTTCTGTTAATAAGTATTTAATTTACATATAGGCTTTCAACTGATAATTAATATTTTTAATAAATACTTGTATTAAAAGCATGTTCATGAAAGTAACTATGCACTCACTTGATTGAGGTGAAAGAACCACGAAAAGTTAGCTCCATGTCAAACACTTCAACTTTTCCCTTTTAAACGGCCTAAATACGAATATTACTATGTTTCAATATTCATTTATATTTATAAGGTTGTATTGAACCACTTTGGATTCTTCGATAATCCCAAGAAATATCAAGTATTATCAGATAAAGAATGTCGTGTAACATCACTCTGAAGATAGGATTCGTTTGGTAGATCCACTTTAAACACCTTACACATCTAACCTAAACATCACTCTCGTAAGTAGAATGATCAATATTCAACTGATATTATTGATAAATCTTATTTATAGGTTTATAATAATGATTATAAACACAAATATATGTTATACTTAAAGGGTACTAAGCATAGCTCAACTTACAAGTTTTATAGCGGAAAACTGAAAATTGTGCGGGCAAAACTTCAATACCGGAAACTCTTTTTATAAAGCCTTTTGTTGCTCCAGAACTTTGCTACTAATACTTGAAAACTCCTAAAGTCAGGCCTCGGGGTGCGGGAAAAGTTTCGGGAGAGTCTGGAGAAAAATTATGGAGAAATGAGCAAGAAAATCAGAGTATATATAGAAAATTTTGGAGGGCTTGCCGCGCCTGGTTACGTGGCATCCCCATGTTATGCCACGTGTCGCTTGCGTAGGAAGGGTGGAGTTCTACTAGTGTCACGTGTCACCTTCCGGGTGGGTAGAATTTCACATTTTTCAAAAAATCATAATTTTCGCATGTGATCAGCGTTTTTGACGTTCTTTATATCTTCGGTTTCATATCGACGAGTACTACAACTTTCATTTAGACTTCGTCGGCTAAATCACAATATATTTTTATTTTGTCTGTGGAGGTTATACTATAAACGACTTTGCGAAATTCATAACTTACTCATACGAGCTCCGTTCTCGATTTTCTTTATATCAACGGATTCGTATTGTTTTGGCCAACGAAGAACCTATTTTCTTTTCATATTTTATGACACACACATTGTATCGTGTCGAATGCAAAACTTTCAAAAAAATCATAATTTTTTCATATAAATTCAGATTTTGATGTTCTTTTTACTCACAACTTCGTAATTACGATTACTATAACTTTTGTTTAGATTATTTAACCTAAATAATTTTCTTTTAAAAACATTATTTATATTAGTTAAACTTGTATCCCGAATTCGCGGGCGATACACACATAATTAAAATTAAATAGATAGTCAACATTATACTTTTTAGATGAAAATAAACCAACTAACAATTGTATTATGAAACAACTAAAAGTTCTTTTTTTTTTTTATAAACATCAAAATATATTTTAATTTCTGATCATTTATCAACAAATTATAAGAAAGTATAGTATAAAAAAGAAAATAAACAAAGAGAAGCAAAATAAAATTTCAAACCCTTAAAGTACATGGAAAAAAAAATACATGTTTTAAATCTTTATTTTTTTCAAATATTGTCCAATCTTGGCAAACCGACAGTCGGTATTTATGTGGCAAATATTGCCAAGTCATGTTGTCAATTTATTTTGTATTTTTTTGTACTATGAATTTATTAAAACTAACCAAAACTATCAACTTAAATAATATATCATTTGTTTAATTTAATGAACACACCGACAAAATCCTCTACGGCCGCAATATGCTTAAAGAAACATTGTTTTGTGGTTGAATTAAGAAAAAACTCTCTAGATTATATATATTAATGGGAACTGATTTGTACACAACACTTTTTCTCCGCACACAACAATTTGTGCTTTAAAGTGTTGTATTGTACAACTCTATAATGCATAAATTGTTGTGTACAGCAAAAAATTGTTGCGTACGAATCACTTCCCTATATTAATTATCAAAAACGGTTTGTGAGACAAACCTATTGTTTATTTCTCTTGTTATTTTAAGAGAAAAATGTTTAAATTAACAAATTACTATCATGCGTAATATAATATAACATGTAAAACAAACATTTATTTGAAAATAAAGATTTTGTCTCTGACTATAATAGATTCTCATATTTGTTTATCTTTTTTTATTATTTTGAACTAACATATTCCATTCTTCATAATTCCTCTATGATATATTTTCAAGTTTTAATTTAGTCCGTCTTTTCCATACATAATTTTTTGGTTCAAAACTTTATTTTGATACTTTTGTGTTCCTCTTAATATAATCTAATCGGCGTTGTGCTATATATGAATTGTGATATTTGTAAATCACATTTTGCATACGAATCGCAAATGAGTTAACCCCACATTAAAGTTACGTTTTGGTCCATTACACAATTTCTAGTTTTGCTTTTACCATTACACAATTTCTTTTTATAGTTTTGTTTTTATTAATTGCAAACGTTTTTTCCGCCACAAACATGTTATGTGACTTAAATAATTGTTTATTTAAATTAAAAAAGTGGCAAGCTACATTGCTTTCTAAAAAATTTGGCTTATATCTTGAAAAGTTATATATATATATATATATATATATATATATATATATATATATATATATATATATATATATATGGGAAAAGTGAATATACCCTTAAGGGTATATAAAGTTAGGTACCAAAACACCATATAATATATCGTTTTGTTTGATATATTAATTATAATGCT